AAAAAAAAAAAAAAAAAAGAATATATAAAGAATCCTTATAGCTTAATAGTGAAAAGATAACCCAGTTAAACATGGGCGGAAGTTCTGAATAGAAAGAAATGTCTGCAAGGAAGATATTCACGTGGTCGGTAAGCACATGGAAAGATGCTTGAGGTCATCAGTCATCAGGGAACTGCACATCAAAACCACCGTGAGATGCTACTTCACACCCACTTGGATAACAACCAGCGTGGGTGAGGATGCGGAGCAGCTGGAACCCTCAGGCGCCGCCGGTGGGAAGGGAAAACAGTGCGGCTGCTGTGGAAAATAGTGTCTCAAACAATTACACAGAATCGCCATATGACCCAGCAACCCCACCCCTAGGTATGTACCCAAGAGAAATGAAAACACGCCCACACCAAAACTCGTCCGTGAGCATTTACAGTGGCTTTATTCATAACAGCCAAAAGACAGAAACCACCCAAGTCTCCAGGGATAAACACATGGATAAACAAAGGGTGGCACCTCCCTACGATGGAATTACTCACCATGAAGAGGAATGAAACACAGCGTGGCCGAGCCTCGAAACCATGCCGAGTCAAGAAGCCCGCACATGCAGTAGGGTTCCATTCACAGGAAACCTCCAGAACGGGGATGTTAGAGAGATTGAAAATAGATTAGTGGTTGTTTAGGGTTGGAGGTAGGGTGGAGGGGAGGGAGGTTGGCAGCTAAAGAGTATGAGGTTTTGGCCGGGCGCGGTGGCTCACGCCTGTAATCCCAGCACTTTGGGAGGCCGAGACGGGCGGATCACGAGGTCAGGAGATCGAGACCATCCTGGCTAACACGGTGAAACCCCGTCTCTACTAAAAAAAATACAAAAAACTAGCCGGGCGAGGTGGCGGCGCCTGTAGTCCCAGCTACTCGGGAGGCTGAGGCAGGAGAATGGTGCAAACCCGGGAGGCGGAGCTTGCAGTGAGCCGAGATCCGGCCACCGCACTCCAGCCCGGGCGACAGCGCGAGACTCCGTCTAAAAAAAAAAAAAAATATGAGGTTTCTTTTTGAGGTGGTGAACATGTTCTGAAATTGACTATGGATGTGGTTGCACAACTCTGGGAATGTAATAAAACCCACTGAATTGTACACTTTATTTTTTTGAGACAGAGTCTTGCCCTGTTGCCAGACTGGAGTACAGTGGAGTGATCTCGGCTCACCGCAACCTCCACCTCCCGGGTTCAAGCGATTCTGTTGTCTCAGCCTCCCGAGTAGCTGGGATTACAGGCACGCACCACCACACCCGGCTAATTTTCGTATTTTTAGTACAGACAGGGTTTCACCATGTTGGCCAGGATGGTCGCGATCTTCTGACCTTGTGATCTGCCCGCTTTGGCCTCCGAAAGTGCTAGGATTACAGGCATGAGCCATGGCGCCCGGCCTCTTAATTGTACACTTTAAATGGCTGAATTGTAAGGAGTGTGGATGATATTTCAATAAAGTTACTTAAAATAAAGAAAAGAAACTGCCAAGTTGTATGCTAGAGTGGCCATCTTACCTTTTCACTGTGCCGTTTCTATGCGGCCTCGCCAGCTTTTGGTGCTGTTGCTACTTTTAATTTTAGCCATTCCGATTGCAGTGTGGTGATGTCTCATTGCGCCCTTAATTTGCATTTCCCTAATGGCTAACAATGCTGACTATCTGAATATCTTTTGTAAAAATAGAGACAGGGTCTCGCTCTGTTGCCCAGGTTGGAGTGCAGTGGCAATTATGGCTCACTGTAACCCTAAACTCCTGGGCTCAAGCAATCCTTCTACCTCAGCCTCCCAAGTAACTGGGACTACAGGTGTGCACCACCATGCGCAACTAATTATTTTTTTTTTTAGAGATGGGGTCTTGCGTTTTTTTTTTTTAGAGATGAAGTGTTGGTTGCCAGGTTGGTCTCAAACTCCTGCCCTTAAGTGATTCTTCCACCTTGGTCTCTGAAAGTGCCGGGATTATAGGCGTGAGCCACTGTGCCCAGTCCTAAATATCTTTTTATGTGCTTATTTGCCATCTGTAGATTCTCCTTGGTGAAGTGTTTCATGTCTCTTGTCCATTTTCTAATTGGATTATTTTTATTTATTTATTTACTGTTGAGTTTTGAAAGTCACCCTCCCCCGCCACCAAAATACCTGGACAGGAGTGCTTTGTCAGACATGTGGTTTGCAAATATTTACCCTGTGGCTTGTCTTTTCATTCTCTTAAGAACTTTTTTTTGCAGAGTAAGAGTTTTTAGTTTTGAGGAAGCTCAGTGTGTGGACTTTCTCTTTTATGCAGTGCTTTTGATGTTAGGTCTAAGGGCTTCCCCCAAGTCCTCACTCTGCAGCGTGACCTCCTGTCTTCTTCTGATCTGCTGATGTCATCGTGAGACTTTTCTCACATGGTGGATCGCACTGATCGATTTTCAGGTGTGAACCAGCCTTGCATTCCCACTTGGCCGTGGTGATACTTCTTTTTGCGTGTTACTGAATTCTCTTTGCTAACATTTTGTTAAGGTCCTGGGTAGAATTTGCTCTGACTCCCTATTAAGAGCCTGCCCGGAGAGCTCGCTGCTTCAGGGAGTTGTGAAAAGGCTCCAGGAGAGAGCAGGAAAAGTGACTGGAAGGGTCTGAAAGCAAGGTCTCCAGGAAGGGCCACAGGAGGGGCGGTGTGGTTTGGAGGGAGGAGGCCAAATGGGAAAGCAGCCGTCTCTCTGGGTGCGCTTTCGTCTGTCTTCTAAAGCACACCCCGCCCCTCCTCTGTCCTCATGCCGCCCTGGTGCGTGGTCCCCAGCTGCTGGTGTCAGGGCAAGGACAAAGACCCGGGAGTCTGAGTCCTGGTGATTGCCAGGCCCTGGGGAATGGGGGGAGATGTGGTCGGAGGCTCTTGTGACCGGGGCAGGATGTGTCTTCTGCTGGACTGGCACCTTTTTGTTTGTCCTGTTGGTGGCAGATGTAAGTGACATCGGGCGCTTCCTCAGTGCATTTCACGAGCCGCACGCGGGGCTCGTCCAGGCCGCCCAGCAGCTGCTGTGTGATGAGCAGGCCCCGCAGAGGCAGAGGCTGCTGGCCGACCTCCTGCACAATGTCAGCCAGAACATTGCAGCCGAGACCCGGGCTGAGGACCCGCCGTGGTTTGAAGGTGCGTGGGGGCTGCACCCGGGCTGAGGACCCGCAGTGGTTTGAAGGTGCGTGGGGGCTGCACCTGGGCGGTGGACTTGCGTGGTTTGAAGGTGCGTGGGGGCGGCACCTAGGCGGAGGACCTGCGTGGTTTGAAGGTGCGTGGAGGCTGCAGCTGGCAGAGGAAAGCCTTTTTCAGAGCCTAAGGTGCCAGGAGAAGTTGGGTTCCAAAAAGCCCCCAACGAAGGGCTGGCCTGTACCCTTGTGGGTTGAGGTGGGGGACTCTGAAGAAAATGTGCTCATTTTCCAGCCTCGTGGGAAAGGCACCCAGCAAGGACTCACGTGGGGCCAGAGTCCAGGGCAGCCCTCAGATGGGACTTTTTATTCTTTTTATTTTATTTTTTGAGATGGAGTCTCGCTCTGTCACCCAGGCTGGAGTGCAGTGGCGTGATCTTGGCTCACTGCAACTTCTGCCTCCCAGGTTCAAGCGATTCTCCTGCCTCAGCCTCCGGAGTAGCTGGGATTAAGGCAGGTGCCACCACGCCTGGCTTATTTTTAGTACAGATGAGGTTTCACCATGTTGGCCAGGCTGGTCTTGAACTTCTGACCTCAGCCTCCCAAAGTGCTAGGATTACAGGTGTGAACTACTATGCCTGGCCTATTATAATTATTTTAAAAATTGTGATAAAGTACATATGACATAAAATTTACCATCTCAACCATTTTTTAGTGCACAGGTCATTGGCATTAGGGACAGTCACATGTGCGGCCATCCCCACCGTCATCTCCAGAACTCCTTCTACCTTGCAAGGCTGAACCCGTGTCCCCGTTCCATTCACTCTCCATTCCCCTCCTCCAGCCCCTGGCAGCCACCGTTCTGGTTTCTGTCTCTCTGATTCGATGACTCTAGGGACCTCATATGAATGGAGTCACATAGTATTTGTCCTTTTGTCACTGACTTATTGCACTCAGCACAGTGTCCTCAAGGTTCCTCCATGTCATAGAATATATCAAAATTTCCTTCTTTTTAAGGCCGAATGACACTCCACTGTGTGTACATACTACACTCT